GGTTTCAAGAGGTATTTTCTGAAGTTCTAGTGAGAAGCCGTAAACAATCGAGTTGAAACGAGTCAGTTGTGAGATATTAACCTACTGGAAACAATATTGGATGTATCGCTCAATTTCATGGATTGGTTGAAATTAGACATTGACACCGTTGGATACCGGCAGGTTCAGTAGTCTAGCGTTTAAGCGTTTAAGCGTTCGCGTATGAGAACCGATAAGTCGTGAGTTCAAATCTCCCGATGCGGTATCGCAGATGCACACTACTGCTGAGGAGCCCTACAATACAATGAAACGGTTATCCAGATTTCCCATTATAATCAAACTTCAATTAATTCATGATCTTAACTACTATAACTTCATGCATATTGGAAATATTTATTGAATACTTTTATACTACTTACTTGTGATTTAGTAAGACATTTTGTTTCTTCTAAAGATTTTTTTGCAAGAATTTGATTTTCATTCACATTTTTCATTGATTTCATAAATTCTGAATCAGTTTTATGATTCAATTGTACTTTCCCATCCGAAGTATCGTTGTCATCATCCTGGTGATCATTATCTCTATGTGATTGTTTCTCCTTCGTTACAGATGATGTACGTTTTTTTACTACATTCAATTTACATTCTACCATGTTTTCAGTTTTATCTTCATTCAATTTGGGATTCTGATTCATTGAATTTAATTTACATGATCCTACTATAATAAAATAAAGAAAGAAATTAGAAGAGATACGTTTTAGTGATGTGAAGTATTTCTTGGAATAAGATCATTAATTGATGAATGTCAGATCTGAAAGTATTTGATAATTAGTTGTTTTGTTCTAGTATTCGATTTCTCCACAGTGGGAATTGACGAGCTCGTGCATGGGATTCACACTTAGAACTTTTGGTTATGCATGTGAACGTTCAACTTTAATACCACAGATCCGGTGTTAGTATCTCAGTCAGTCAGTCAGTCAGTCAGCAACAACGTAGGACCAGGCACTTATATACATCGGTCCAAGTTCACATATCTCATTAGCACAACAAGATCAACACCAAATTCACAGAAGTAGTTACTTCAATGATAGTAATATATAAAAGAAAGAATTGTGAAGAAATATATAAAGTAATTTTCATCTCATAGTTTAAGGGAAGACAACGAGTATATACACGGATGCCATTGTGATCGATTCTAAGCCATGTCACACAGAGTCTTTAACCATTGGTAACGATAGTCACACGGACCCCAACCAAGTAGTCTGCATCTACCAACATGACACAGATAAGAAGTTAGTGACTTCAATGACTGATGCCAAGTTTTGATTTGGCCGCCTCTAACTTTCTTCCAACCAACTCCAACACTAGTCAGAATTGCGCGTCCTAATAATCGGTGGTTGGGCATACGTACCACGTGTTATTGTCTAACATCAAGCAATCCGAAATAGTGGATACACACTCTTCAACAGCCTCATACTAGAACAAAACAACCGTCCGGTGTTTCCACGTCTTCAATGGTGGTCTAACATTCATCGATTCATGATCTCAATCAAAAATTAAAATAGTATTCATGACATTAAATCACCAAGTTAACATTCATCATGTTCATGTAATCACGTATCGTTAACTTCCTGATTCTAATGTGATGTCATATCCTATATATGCAGACTAAGAATCATTTGATATTGATTCAAAGACTGAATGGTGTCATACTTGTCAAGCAACTAAAATTTCTTGAGGTTAATACAGTATATAACTCCGCCTGGAGCCCCTCTTGGGTTACAGCTGGTCCCAAGCCCGGATAAAGTAGGAGAGTTGGGCATGGGGATAGCGACCACATACCAGGAAAAATCATTCAAACCATTTAAACTCTGCTTTGGGATCTAAGAGATCTTCATTTAGAAGAGTTATGACGCCTCATGATGAAAGCCAAATTCCTTCGGAAGTCACGAGGCTGATGCCCCTTCTAACAACCAGAGAAACCATTAATTTAGGTACATGGAATGCTCGTATTATGTGGGAGACCGGGAGGGTCTTCGAAATTGCTGCAGAAATAATACTGTGTATAGTTATATGTTGACACACTTGGAAATCTTAAACTAGAACATAAATACATATTCAGTGTTTGTTAGATTTCACTAGTTCTTCAAATAATGTTACTTCATAATGAGAAATCTCTTTACTTGCTATATATATTACTGAGATTTGATTGAAGTAATTAATCTAGACTGTAAGAGTTCAGCTCAATAGTCTAAACTTATCATATTGTGGGGACCATTCAAGGATAAACTCGAAGATGGTTTAAGAATTTCAGAAAGAACCAAAGATACCTCATTCAGTTATCTTTTAGAAGAATAGTCCAGAATTTCTATGTGTAGCTTCCCTATTGGAGAAATGCTAATCACCCCCGATGTGCGAATCGGATAACCATAATAATGATTTCAGTTTTACTAAAAACTATAAATACCTGACAGTTTTGTACTATAATTTGACACTGTCTAGAATAACATTCCTTTCATGTGTCTTCTGTCTTCTCATTGCCACTTGGAAGGATTCTAACGTTCAAGTGTTCAAGTTATACGTGGTACAATAAAAAACGAAGCTCTAGATAGAACACATACTCTGCGAGAAACGTGAAAAGATAGTGATTTAGAGATTGATCCTATTGTAAGGTCTAATGAATCCCTAACTAGAAGTAACTGTCGATTTCGTATCCCCGAAGTTTTTAATGATCATTTGGTTGATAATTTCTCTCTGAATTCATATACTGATTCACCTTCTTAAGAAGCAACTAACCAAAAGGACAAAAATGTCCTACTAGTTAAGATACAAATAAATCAATCTTTATTGCTTCATATATGCCTGTATATAGTTTTATTAACGACTTTCTGATCTTTTAGTGAATTATACAATACCTGAGAACCTGAACACGGTGGATTTGATACAGATGTGAATGCAAGGATAGGCAAAGCAAGAGCAGTATATATCAAAATTGAAGAATATCTGGAACTCAAAACAACTGTCTTTCAATCAACACCAAATTCAGGATTTTCAATACAAATGTCAACATAGTTGTACTGTATGGGGGCTGAAACTTGTAGAACTACGAAAACAATCATCCACAACATACAAGTGTTCGTTGACAGTTTTCTATACAAAATACTTCGGATTCGTTGGCCAGACACTACACTATCAGCAACAACCTACTGTGGCAGAGAACAAACCAGAACAAAGTAGTGGAGGAAGAAATCAGGGAGAAGTGCTGGAAGTGGATAGGACACACAATGAGGAAAGCACACAACTGCGTCACAAGGCAAGTCCTCATCACTCGTAATCCTCAAGTCCAAAGGAGGAGAAGAAGAAGACCAACGAACACAATACGCCGATAAATTGAGATAGACACGAGAAGAATGAACAACATTGGATAGAAGTAGAAAGAAAGGCCAAGGACAAAGTTGGTTGGAGAATGATGGTCGGCGGCCTATGCTCCATTGGCGATAACAGGCGTAAGTAAGTACGTAAGTGGTAACCGAATCTAATGACCGTCGTCAAAAAAATCGAAGTTACCATAGTTTCCCACTCAACATTATCATACTTTGTTATCGGTAGGATTGATGACAAACTCAGGCTAAGAGAACACACTAATCTCAAATAATAAACTAATAATTACTGTTATTAACCCTACCTCCTTAAAGCATGATCTAATAACATATGATCTGTAATATAGTTCGATACAATCAAACAAGTAAAGCTTCGTAAAACTTCAAAAGTGAATAGAAAACATTCTTACATGGATTAACTTTACGACATTCATCGTATTTTGATAAGAAATGACTCAGTGTATCCCAGCCACCACCGACTCGAACCATCACATGATTTCTCAGTATCTAAATTAAAACAATAAAATAGGTCTAGTTGAAAAGATACAACACGTCGAAACAAACTTAAATCATGTTACGTAACATTTTAGATGTCAGTCAATTACCCGACGTTTGCCATGGGGGCAATGAACCTCATTAAGAACTCATGATATATAAGACATAAATTTATGTAGAAAAGTCGATATAGTGAATTAAGCCAAGTCAATTTACAGAATCAACAATCCATACATTTCTAAAGTGTTTAGATGGGTATCATTTCATCTTTACTTATAAAACAATTTTGACTATTCTCATTTCATAACTTGAACAAACAGATCAAAACATGAAACTTTGTTATAATCATAACAGTAGTTATATCCAAACACATTTCAGTCTATGGTGCGGGATAGTGGATACTCACTACTGAGGAGTCTCATACAAGGAAGAAAATGGTCATGAATTTAAGTATTAAATTACTAAAATCTTCACAAAATCCCCTCGTGATTAGATGGATACTTTTTGAAGTGAAACATTTGAACTACTTAATTTTATTTAAACAGTATAACTATTCTCAGGTAAGTTTTATTGAGCAACTACTTGACATGTACTGAGAAAGAAACATTTATGTATGTATATATATTTAATGACATATAGAATCATATTGATATTGTAATCTATATAATCTCCGCTAAAAACCAAAACTTTGCCATAAGAGGTCCATTAGAAGTGAGTAAAAAAGATGATACGTCATTTCTTTCAACAATTACAAGTAGTGTTACTAGTAGTAGTAGTAGTAGCAGGAGGTGGAGGAGGAGGAGGAGGAGTATGCTTTGATTTGTATTACCTATTAGTAGTTCACAGCATGATTATGACAATTATAATTGATGGTGAGTAAAAACCAAAATGCTTGATCAGATATACTTAAATCAGATTAGTAATGACATTGTTAACTCATATATAAACTGATTCAATGACAAATTTAATTGTACTCAAATTCTTGCCAGTATACTTATAAATATATAATCAATTAAGTAATATAGACCATTGAAATGGTTCTCAAAAGTATGCTCACTGTATGCGCATTATTTATGTATATTTCATTCATTCATTTAATAATTCGGAATGGCATTATTTGTATTGAAGTAACCGAATGGTAATGAACACAATGGAATTTCAATATAATGATTATCACCCCCCCCACACACACACACCCAAACATACACAAGAACATCGGTAGCGACAATTGAATATATTTAAATACAACATTGTAGAATCGCTTAGTAAAATCTGAGAAGCATAAAGTGAATACTTTATTGTTGTTTTGTTTCTACACTAATCATTCTTTGTTCTTGTTCTCATTTCATCACTGAACTTCTTGACCTTCTGCCGTTAGGCATTTCACTTTCGATTGATAACACATACTACTGATATCTGTCAATATCAGCAGCCCATACCACATTCTTATTGACAAGAAACCATCAATAAATTTTAAACAAAATGCTTAACGGATTTAAATGACTACTGAACCTGCCGGCATCCAACGGTATTGATGTTTAACTTAAACTAATCCACGAAATTGAGCGACACATCCATCATTGTCTTCAGTGAGTTAGTATCACACAACAGAACCGGTTGAACTCCACTGATCACTGCTTCTCACTAGAACTCCAGGAAATACCTCTTGAAACCAGTCACCATTATGTATATGTTGTTTATTATCAGAAGGGATTTGGTGGATATTATAACAATTTCAATGGTTGAGATCATGAGTCAGTTGAAGCTAGACCTCCATGGAAAACCTGGATGCCGGCTCAGTGCTTCAGTGGTTAGGCGTTCGTGCACACATTTTCATCTTGTACAAATCAGGAACTTAAAGAGATGCGTGCATTTTGAATTATTCATTATCATCACTAATGTGTCTAGTAGTCACGGGCTCATTTCATCTTAACCATTCACCTAAATAGATTTTTAAATCACTTAAACCAATCAAATCACCCGGGAAAATTAACTTGGTACAATATCAACTGATTTATGTTTGTAGGTGATTATCTGTTGAGCAATTCAAGTAATCCAGTCAAGCTATTGTTTCCTTAACACGGATAGTCGGATGTCTGTCAACTCTTATGTGATCACTCTACTCCAGTCAGAATATATTATATGAAAGTTTCGTGTAGTATTTCTGTGAAGAGATGTGAAATGTCAACAATCAACTGGACACAATAATCAAGATCATCTAAGATAGAAGAAATCCACAGCTTATCACACTAATCAGTCCATTCGTCACTTTCTACATTCATTTGTCCTCCATCTTTTGTTTACAAATGTAATCTTATATGTTGTAGTTCAATTTCACTCACACTGTATCACACTAATGACTGATTGGCAACTCGAGCATATTAACGATACCTTCATAAAATAGATTCATCGTAAAATCGGGAGTGTCTTTTAGCATCAAATGAAAGATGTAGCAGCTTTCTGAGGTTAACCAGGGTCGCTGTAATAACATTCTCTTAACGCTCGTAGCAATCACTTTCGATTTTTGTGCATTTCTCCAACATTCGCTCATTTCCAGACAGAACTCATTCATGCGTTTCGACTCTTTGATTGAGTTCACACACATATAAGTACTGATAAATATTCAAATATTCAATCAATTTCAATGGTTAAGATCATGAGTCAGTTGAAGCTAGACCACCATGGAAAACCTGAAAGCACTGGACGTCCGTTTCTTCCTATTGTAGGACTCCTCAGCAGTGCGCATTCACGACCTCATCCCCCGCGAGACTCGAACTCAGGGCCTACTGGTTTTGCGCGCGGGCTGTATTGATTAAGGCATTGTTTAAGCTAAATATTTATTTTTTATTTTTGGTTATCTATCATGTACCTGTCATAAACTGATTCCATTTTTATATAGAGTATTGATCGTATATTTAGTCAAATGATAATAGAATCTTGGTAACAGGTTATATTATAGTAATATATTGTGAAAAATAGAAAATAATCGAATTGTTGTTATTATCCGTATAAGGTTGTGGAGATTATTACGTTTTTGATTGAAATCATGAACTGATTGATGTTAGACCACTAATGAAAACCTGTAAGAACTGGACGGCCATTTCGTCCTATTGTGGGACTCTTCAGAAGTGTTCATCCACAATTCCGCTCACGGCATTAGAAACCAAGGCTTTCAGTCTGACTGTCCTCAGTACAATGGAAGATGTTCGCACAATTTCGTGGATTGTTTGAAGTTAGACATTAACACCGTTCGCTGCCAACTCAGTGGTACAGAGATTAGGCGTATCTCTGTACATATGTGGTATGGCAACTTGAACTTATGTACACACGTACAAAGTTCTACGTTGTTAACTGACTTACTGATTGAAACACATTCAGTTTGGGGCTGTGAACACTGTTTAATTTCATTAGAATCATGAACCGATCTTGATTAGACCGCCATAGTAAACCTGATAGCACTGAAGTGGACAAAAATTGCTTTCCCATGCTGTGATTTTATATTCACATGCAGAAGGATATTTTTCACAGAGAGCTAAGAGATAAACATTTATCAATTGCACACATGGAGTATCAAATGCTGCTGTTAAAGGAAGTCGACCTATATCAGGTTGGTAAAAACCCTCTACATTTCTCAATCATTACTAATCAGTGATTTCCATTCAATCTTGTGGTAATAACAACTTCACTTCTATAAAATTAACGTGTAATATTGTCGTCAATACAAGTCAACATATATATATATATATATATATATATATATATATATATATATATATATATATATATATATATATTACTTACATTCGATGAAAATGTACACACAAGGAAATCTGTCATTGAAAGTGCAATGATGTCAATAATTGCATTATTCATTGAATTAACTGACATCCGTATATTCAAATAAGCTGACTGTGATCTACCTCGACTACCATAGACAGTATAGTTTGGATAACTGTAGGGTAGTTGAGTAAAAATATTCGGATCATCTGTCGACAAGTAAACACTTCGCTTACCTTGAACAGAGTTATTTCTTCTAATGATTCTTTCAGAAACTGATAAGTCTTGCGGATTGAACGCTATATTCGCTTCCTAATCTATTCTGTAACCCTCAAGCTAGAACTATACAAGAGAGAGAAGACTCATAGTATGCGAGAAGTAGTTTACTCCAAGGTTCATTTTAATAAAGAAAATACAAGGTTTTTATAATGTTTTAAATGTCCTTGGGTTGTTAGAAAATTCTGGAATGCTATTAAACATATTAGCAGTGTAGCAACCAGCCAATCAGAACGTCTACATGTGTAGTGACTCACGTTTATCACGAGAACACGACTGGTTTAATAAAAACAATTATTATTATAACCAACTGTACCAGTGTTTGTTTGACTGTGCTAATGACAGCTATTTTGTGCTTCCTTTCTTATACTTAAACTTCGATTGTAACTTCGCGCGAATTCGGTTACCTTCTGTAACCAAGCTTGTATCCTGGCACGATCTCGGTATCCTCTCGATACCACGAGATCGCCAGAAAATATACACCTCGATTTGGTCCATTAACTGTCTTCTGATATTTGGCTTCTCGGGGATTTTATGGATCTATTTGGTTACGTCCAACCCTCGCCTTCTGATGTATTTGGCACGTGTTTCTTGGTAGCGGTGTTCACAGTTAATCTCAACTCGACGCCACGCTACACATGTAACGTTTCGCTTCCTTGATATTTTTTGGCAAAAATATTCAAGCAAACGCTGATTGAACTAAACGCATCTTAGTGATTCATGATGCTTGCTTATTTTTTTGCAAACAATTTTCTGGATCACTCTAACAAAACAGATCCAAATCTCTCTACATTCATGTCCGAACAGTTTCAAAAATCACAAATTAGATTCATTCCGTATAATAGTAATAATCATGATAAAATAGTCGGTCTGAATAAGAAGTGATACAATTAGATCTAATATAAGATTGGAAACATTTCCTATTCTCATAACATACAATTTCCACTCATTCAAATCGAACTCATAAGATTAAAAATAAAGTGAGTTCTCTGTGAATATTTTCATCTTGTCAATCAGCAACTTTCATTTGTCAATGTTGTTTCTTGAATCACGTCTATTACGGTAGTACCGTACAATTTCAATAAAGAATTAACTGAAACATACATCAGTGATAGTCAACAGATTTATAAGAATGTGAATATAAGTTATTAACTGTGTATAAAATATTGAGCAGGATAATGTTAGTTATCAGAACGATGGCAGTGTAAAACTGAATCTACAGTGATATATAGTCTGTTGAAACAATCTCACTTCATCAGTTGAATCCAGTCATGTTCATTTTTGGTCTCAACTTGTAAGCAGGTGCAATCAATAAGTCGTTTTTCGTACCCTTTTGGTTTTTATTATGTATATTTTCACTTGATTGCTGTGGTTTTACTAACACTGAACCGTTCCAGTTAATTTGGCGAATTTCCACTACATCACCATACTTCAAATTTACCTTCATATCTGGAATGATCACATCAAATTTCATTCTTTGGTAATCTTCTTCATGGTAAAACTTATCGATTGAATGAAATAATTGTGTTGCATCACCCAAATCCATATGACGTGTTTGCATTAACTCATAGGCTAAACGACAAACCTAAGAAAAGTAACAATAAGATTATGTATGAAATATGAACATATTCACTGAGATTATCTGAATATTTCATCGAATTTTGTGGAGGAATTGCAACCACCGTGTTTTTATGGATTAAGATTTTGAATAAAATTTTATGAAATTGTAGACTCTATAATAAATACATTCAGTTTGAGCTGGTGGACATTGTTGAGTCTCATTAAAATCATGAACGGATCTAAGTTAGACAGCCATTAAAACCTGGCAGCACTGGACAACTGTATCGTGCTAGTGTGGGAATCATTGGCAGTGAGAATTCACTAGTGACTAGCTTCCAGAGGTAACATATTCAAAACAGTTTTCCACGACTTGTGAAACACATTGAAACAGAAATCTCCATGTATATATATATATATATATATATATATATATATATATGTCAACAGCTACGCATTGTTTATCGAATAAACTTTTCAAAAATGGCGATGTAGTTATTTCATTCTCTGTCGGGAACAATAATCACAGACATGAATTAATACATGAATCCTCAAAACATTATTCGCTTTCTACTTGTTATAGCCCAAAGCCGTCAATGAGAAGCTGTGAATTATCGATCGGACCAAGGATGCGTTAAACACGTGCGAGCAGCCTAGAATCCTGATTTCCACCTAGCCCAGCCAGTTAAGTCCAGAACACCAGTCTCAGCTTCTGCAATATGAATCCTTATAGTTCAAATATACTGAGTTAACATACTAATCAAACAGACCACATCGTACCAATAAAATAGAAAATAACATTTGTACAAAATTTGGCCAAATGTGGCTGTGAATGTGTGAGGCAGTGACTAATAACAACTTCACTTTTGTAAAAATTAATGTGAATTCTTTATTCAAACTTGCTTGTTCACCTCAAATTCCAGTCAAAACAGGCAACGTCTAATATTGTCGTCAATACAAGTCAACATATATATATTACTTACATTCGATGAAAATGTACACACAAGGAAATCTGTCATTGAAAGTGCAATGATGTCAATAATTGCATTATTCATTGAATTAACTGACATCCGTATATTCAAATTAGCTGACTGCGATCTACCTTGACTACCATAGACGGTGTAGTTTGGATAACTGTAGGGTAGTTGAGTAAAAATATTCGGATCATCTGTCGACAAGTAAACACTTCGCTTAGCTTGAACAGAATTGTTTCTTCCAATGATTCTTTCAGAAACTGATCCAAATCTCTCCACATTCATGTCCTAACAGTTTCAAAAATGACAAATTAGATTCATTCCGTATAATAGTAATAATGATGATGAAGTAGTCAGTCTGAATACGAATTGATACAACTAGATATAATATAACATTGGAAACATTTCCAATTCTCATAACACACAATTTCTACTCATTCAAGCCGAACTTTTAAAAACAAAAATAGAGTGAGTTCTTCTTAGTTCATAGTTTGCATTATGGTCTAGACTCAATTAGACAGCAGTGGAAAACGTGGGTGTATAGGACAGCTATCTCGTTTTATTAAGGGACTAATATCAATGACTCCCTTATGGAATAAACTCAGCACCACAAATAAAGTCGAATCTTTAGACAAGTGAGCCAAGATCGATTCCTGAAATAAACATGTCCACTGCTCACACACTTTTAACGACCATCAACCTGAGATTGAACTGTAATGTAAACAATAAAACTTCACAGCCTCAAATCTACAATAACAAGTGAATATTTCACAGCATTTCGCTTTACATGTTAACTAACAAATTGTTCTCAAATCATCTTTAATTAATATTTAGCACTAAGTCACTACTGTTTCTTATTGAACTGATATCATAACGTTGAGTCATTGTACGTTAATATTCTGAAAATCTTTCAGGATAATGCCAGTGCATCCCGATGAAACTTTCCATGTTTCCTTCACACTACAATAAATGAGCATAAGTGCCAGAATTACATTTCTCAATCAGTAAGATTAACTGAATGTAGCAGTTTTGATATTTATAAAATCTCATTATCAAAACATGCAGACAACTAACCAGTTGGAATTGTCATGCTCATCTTGCTTAGAATACCGATTGATTTTAATATAGTGCAACTTTGTACTGATTAGCTGGGGAATTTAACACAACATAATACATTCGTCTACAGTAAACCTACTGGAATGTTCAGTAGATTAGTTAACAATTTGCAGAGGTACACATATTCAAATGGAATGAATAACTGAAGGTTTTGATACTAGTAGGTTAAATCATCGACAAAGTGCATTTGATCTGATTGATTTGCTAAAGCAATATCTTATTACATCTTCATTATAACGTTTTAAATCAAATCGTATGACATGAACACTGACTTATAACAGTAGTTACATATTTGGCTAGCAGTGGAATCCAGGATGGGTGTTTCATCCTATTTCGGACTCGTCAGCTGGATGTACCCGCAAGCTTGTGATCTAAGACAATATCGATGCAGTCCGCACACGATGCACATATGACAACAAGAGACTAATCATTTGCAGTCCTAGATAACAATGGGGAGATACAAGTAAACAACACCAAGTACTTGTATATTTCCTAAATTCATGATTTCGCCCATTACATGATCAGCTTACTTTTCTAAGATTAGTGACTGAGTAATCAACGATTGCTAGATGTTCAGGATGTGTCATGAATTAAGATAAGAACTTATTCACGTACTTATAGTCTGAGATTAAGAATGGATTATATTCACATTACTGTATGTCTTTGGATTATTTGTATTGTGTCATTTATCTTGATAATAAACGAGTTAGAGAACATAATGAAGCTTGCCTGAATAAGATTATTTAACGAATAAGATTGTTTATTATTCCATATGATATTGAGTTAGCTAGGAAGGGTTTGCAAAAAAGATAAAATACTTCGTAAATTGAGGTGATAACCACAGAGAAAGTTACATACTCTGTGAAGGTTGTACGCGGGATACTTGATATGGAGTGTAGATACACAAAGTTAATTCACTTATTTATTATTTATTTGAACACATAGATATTGGTACTAGGAGGCATCAAATAAAATCTCATTTGATATGTGTGAGGGCTGTAATACTGCCCGGGTGCCCAAACCGAAGCAGGTGGTTTTCTTAGGATGCCACTCCCCGAGCCTTTGACCTAAAGGTCTGACCCACAAGGCAGTGGAGCAACGTAAGGAGATGCATTCGCATGGTAGCCGGTGACCAACGATTGTTTTATACGCCATTTGTTCCCTCAGGATACTGGAACCCATGTGCACCACTAGTTTGTGATCTGGTTAAGGCGCTGGACATTCGCTTTTCGTCCTCTCATTTTTGTAAACAATAACGCCGCCATGAGAAGGCAGTGAGTAGGACTTCCCTGGCAGAGGCTATATACGCGTGGCCATGTGAGAGCATTTAGAGCGGGAGAGCTGACTCTCTCTACTCTCGACCGTACCAGGGCATTTGGGGGCGATATTGTCCCTAACTGTCCCAAATCACCACTTTTTGTTTACAAAACACCACATAACACTACAATTTATGTTATCGTGATAACCAGTGTTTTATGGACGGTACACCTTACATAATTGCTTCCTAACATCTTAATTGCTTTTGTAGTAGCTGAAATGAAACTTGTCCAGATTGTTCAATATTATTTTAATCACGAAGAAATCCAAACTGTACAACTACTGAAAACCTGGAATAACCGCCTTATACTGCTATGGAATCTACACGGATTGTCGTTTGAATGGTTATGGAGAAGTTGCGTAAAAGCATTAGAATCATCTGTCGCCAAATAAACATTTCGTTTTTACTGAACACAGTAACTTCTTCTAATAGTTTTTTTCAGTCAATGATACAAATCTCTCTTTATTTATACCCGAACAGTTTCAAGAATGACAAGGAAGTTTTATTCTTTTCAATGATAATAATAAAGTAGTTGGTCTGAATGAGATGAGATAAATTATAAAATTCAGTATCCAGTGTCATTACTGTAAACTTCAGGCAGAAGTAGGTTATTGGAGTTTCTTCACTTGTGACAGACAACTTGTCCTGTCGATCTCGACGTTGAATAGTTATTGTTATCCTTCTTATTTTGACCTGATTCTTGATTTAACCTGTTTACAATCTTCCTAATTGTTTGATGAATTGGGTCGGTGTCTGTTTGTTTACTTATTCTCAACTCAGCTGAGTTCCAGAATTATCTCGTTTCATTTGCATTCTTTTTATCCAAAATAACAACCCTTTTTTTTAGTTTGACATATCTACACACTTGTCCACATGCCTTGAGATAAGCAAACGCACATGACGACGTTTGATAGCTAATAAGTGTTCAGGGAGGTGAAGATGATAAAGAAATCTGATTTGTTAACTGAGGTTTTATTTGTAGGAACAGTTCAACTACTAGAATAAGTTTGAAATTTCTTCTTTAGTCATTTCATGCTTTGATCAGTTCTAGACGCTAACTCTCCATATATTTGGTTTATAAGGTCATCTATAAAAGTCCATTGCACATGTACCTGTTCCTTTTCATATTACGAAAAGTATGGCCATGCATATCAGTAAGTTCATTTTTTATACACATAAATTGTACTCAATTACTGTTGGGTCGGCTTCCGGAGAACTTCAACGGAGCCTCCAAAGCCCAAAAAGGAGCCGAAGGGCCCTAGCCAATCAGAGTATGATGGAACGTTCGAGAATTCCAGCGTGGCGTGCTACCATTGGTCGGTAGCATAATATGACGTTAACGGATTGGCTGAAATATGTATTTGATTTAACAGACGCCAACATCTATAAATACCCTTGATTTTCTGTATCAAAACGAACCTGGGGATAAAGTGTTTTCTCTCCTACTTGTGTCTTCTCTCTAGAGTTCAAGTTGCTGTGTAGTTCTTGTCAGCGGGTTACGGGAATAGCTTAGGATTCGTATATAGCGTTCAACCTACACGACTTATCAATTACCTTGGCCTTCTACATGTGATTTTAATCCTTCCAGTTGTATTCAATTTCAATTTTATCATTCACTTCTTACCTACTCTGTTTAAGTCATTGAATCATCTAATTATACGTGCATCCATTTTATGAATTATATATTCTTATCATTAGGGAAAATACTGAGATCCATAGTTAAGCTGATCAACTATCATTTACCTACTACTATACTACATACTAATGAAGAACTATGACTCAAAAAACTCACTTGAACAGAATACATCTTAATTCAATTTACATTTGATCAAGTACAACACATCATAATGGATAACACATTCATTGTGATTAATCATGAATTGAAATGTGATCAATTAATTGACGAAGTTCCATTTATTGATTAAATACAACTGAGATCATCTTATTGACTTACATGTCTCTTCGACATTGTCAAGAGATGATCACTATGTAAATCAAAGAAATTATCCACGTGTTCCATGTACTGGGATAAGTTATGAAACTGAGCTTCCCAAATTAACTACGAAAAAAGTACAAGTGCAAGACATGATGATTAGAACTTTCAATTCCGAAAATATTACACTATAGTTGTCAATGACAAGATGCTCCAAACTCAACCCCTTTTACATTTTCATAAACTTTATTCTTCATGAAGTATTTACACCAAAACCTTTAAACTTGATATTCCTACTCAATTTCTATAGTAAAGTCAGCTGACGAACTGACTCTTGATACACTATTATCTCATATGAATTTCGTTTAACTTCAAATATATTTGACAAAGATCACTGAAAACGTTGGAGATTCAACCAACACCAGAAACTTCAAACTGAGTATGCAGAAAGACAAACTACACTAGTCGAATGCTCACTTATAGCAGTGACAACGTACTGACGCAAAAATATGATATTTACAAAAACTACTCAAAACAGTAAAGATTTTAAAGCATCACAGGGAAAAGAAACTGGACGCATTTTTAAAAAATGGTTTGATACAAAATATCAACAAGGTATGTCCGTTAAACATAACGTCAAATAAGAAAAAGAGAATTCAGCGAAGAAAATTTTCTTTTCAACGAAATCATTTACTTGAGCTGTACATTCGTATATATAGTTATGGGTTATTTTAATAACGTCAAATACAAAATCAGTACTAAACATCAGCAAAGGGGGGAATTCTACTCTATCCGAAGAACATCAGCAAGATCACGAACAGCTTTGTAAGACTATAAGAAGTAAGTACAGCCTATAAGCCGGTACAATATTTATTGTAAAAGCCCACAGCTATAATGACAAATAAAAGCAAGGGAAACATAAAACACAAGAGAAACTGCGACAAATACGACACCATGGAAAGCGGCCACACTTTCAGTCCATTCCTGTATGAGCGTTGGTTAGCCGTTATTCGCCTTGACGTAGATGTGCTTATATAAATGTTTGTGGATAATTTTTAGCGTAAATCAAATTGGGGAAATGTCCGAACTTCGACAGAAGAAGCACAAAAATCTCAGGGAAATTTAAAAAGCCTGAAACTTTACTCGATTAGCAGGTGTATCAAAATCAACCAAATCTACCAACCAGTATTCTGTTGAACAGGATGATAATGATTTCTGAATGACCAGCCCAGTTATCAAAAGTAGTTTAATCCAAAGACAAAACTGAAAACGTGTCTTTCATTCTCAACATTCACTGTTTAGATTCTGAACAACTAAGTGCATCATACTATATTCTGACAACGTATATGAACAAACACTAACCTTATCGGTACGCCTGATATGCACGCCAGCAACAGGATCACCACTCGTTTTAAAGCCCTTCAAAGTTACATTGATTAATTGTGCAAATTGTGTCTTTGGACGCAAAATGTAGGCTGCTAGTTGACCAGCAAACCAAACAAAGGGTGCCTCGTGTAAACGTAATAATTCTTTATTCATATCTATCGGGAGAACATGTGGCAACCAGTTATGTACTTGGGGAGCCTTTACAATCCAAGGACAATTGATGTTATCTGAAGTAAACAAAAGAATGAAAATATTTTTTTATGCTTGATAAATTGTATGGTAATTTGTAGATCGACTGCCTACCAACCAACCATATTAGCTGATTTGTGAGGCGGAACCTTACTCAGTTGTAAAAGGCGATTGAGTAAGGTTCTATCCATATTAGTAGGAACAATGGGACATGAAATATTGCTAATAATAAGGGTTGTTTACTCGTTCTTTCACGTAGATAGTAAACAGCTTTATGTTATTTCATGGGTTCTAGTCAATGATTTATCTTATTTACATGTGTTTTGTCAAAAAAATAATTGAAAATATTCAACTCAATAGTTCAAGATAATCACTGAGGTCCGACATTTACAACAAACTAATGATAAATATAACGTTTACACACCTGATCTACCATCTGAGTCCAAATAACTGCATTTTTCAGAAAGTGGTAACATGTTCTGATGAAGCCATTCTCGAAATATATCTCCAGGATAATGTTTCTTCAATACTAGAACACGCTCATTTTCAAGAGCCAATTGTAAGCAGTACATGAGTTGATGCATACTACAACCCAATCCACACAGATTAGTAAAGTCAAATGTCATATATTTGGCCTTTTTACAATCTGATGGATTCTATATGTCATATGATCACAAGGTAAAATCCAAATTTTTGATTTATTATTAAGAATCAAACACATTGTAAAATTGATTAACAACAATTTCATAGATACAGACATGATAATGATTTAAAGGCTGATAATGTTCGTCATTAATTTACATTTGATACATTTCGGGTTATATTTAACGAATACATTCTGATCTTGCGGTTGTTGTCTGACTTGATAAAATCAGAATATCACTTGAAACCTATTTCAAAGTGACCTAATCGACTAACAACATAACTATAGTGAACTATTTAATCCAGGTTTGGATAATCTCGACTAAATAAGAATCGATCTTATTGATATACAGATATATATGGTAGTGATGATTGAATTATTTACTTTATATCGTACCATACTGATACTTGTGTCTCAGTTTTCAATTGACAGATTGTCGTATAGGTGACAGTGTAGTGACCGAGAACACAAATGGGGCAAACCAAATGAATTCGAATTTATGTTTCACTTTTCAATCGATAAATGGTCACATAGATTACAGTGCACAATGATTGTTTATTGGTTTAGACAGAATCATAGATAGTCAGTGTAGGAAGCAATTTCCTACAAGTGTAACTCTAAGCTATTCTCTAGAATGTCGAGCATAAATTCTTGATTTAGCCAAAGTCAAAACAAGGAAGCTATTTGGCTTGATAAACTTTATCTGTTTTTTAAAACATAAATTAACACTGTTAGTATACAAAATAAACAACACAGAGTAACAACACAGGGAAAAACAGAGACATAAAGAACATACCGAACAGTAGCTAGAGGATAGAAAAAAATGAGTCAACAAGGCAAATATTAGTTTAGGTGTTGTGGAGATTATTAAGTTTTTGATTGAAATCATGAGTCACTTGAAGCTGGATTTCGTGGATTGGTTAAAGTTAGACATTAACACCATTGGATGCCGGTCGACTCAGTGGTCTAGTTTGTTAAGCGACTGGAGCGAGACTGATAGGTCCTGGGTTCGAGTCTCGTGGGGTGCGGGATCGTGGATACGCACTGCTGAGGAGTCCCATACTAGGACGAAATGGCTGTCAAGTGCTTCCAGGTTTTCCATGGTGGTCTAGCCTCAATTGACTCATGATTCCAATCAGTGAGATAGATATTATATTTTTCATATATATTTTCCTACCCTTTGTATTTACGGATAGTCCAATAAAATATGTGTTATTCAGGTGAATCACGTGATCTCGATTTCAGTTGCGTTGACTTTTGGTGAATGAGCTTTTAGACTGGAACCTAGTAAAGAACAAGTCAATTGTATATTCACTGTTCATTCTATGCAAAAAGTTTCCCATAAGTAATTCAGGACAAATGGAACGTCCTTTCAAAGGTCTTATTTAATGCCGTACTTTTGTAGAAATTAATTCGATCAATCAACCACTTCTTTTTACAAGTTTAAGAACTTGACCTATTCCAAAGTGATACAAAAGTAATAAATTCTAACCTGTTGTTTTTGAATCTTCTCCTGTAATCGCTGTGAAAGCTTATTTAAGCCATTCTTTCTGATTTGTGAAAATTCATCTAATTCACCTAGTTTGTTAAGTATAATTTGCAAGTGTGTAATAGTTTCCTCCATATTCTGTCGATAACGAACTAACGATGCTTGTATCGATGAAACTGTTTCAGTGTCCAATTCCTTTTGATTAACTTTTTTTAATTGGTTAAAAATTTTGCGTAAATTGTTCAAAGTGTATCGTGCTTCATAAATGTAATTCAAAGCACGACGTCTAAGTGTTTCATGAGAAATACCTATTCGATCTACATCTAGAATAAAAACATTAAAGTTAAATATTTCACCTTATTATCATTATTATTATACACAATACAAACTGAACATTTCGGTGAGACTATAATTTATGGACGAACCAATCAGGTATGTGAAAAATAGGTCTCGGATAACCTTCATTTTGTACCAGTTATTAGGCGGACTCCGCCTGGAGTCCCTCCGCGGGCTACTGCCGGTTCCAAGCCCGGATAAAGGAGGAGGGTTGGGCATGAGGTTAGCGACCACATCCCGTAAGAAACTAACCCACTGAAAAACACTAACCAGAAAACATAATTCAAATCATTCAAACTCTGCCCTGAAAGTTAGGTCTTCATTTAGAAGAGTGATGACGCCTCATGGTGAAAGCCGAGATTCTTTTGCCCCGTCTGACAACCAGACCAACTATTAATTTAGGTACATGGAATTCTGGGAGTCATCCAAGTTGCTACTGAAATGAAAAGATACAACCTGGATGTGTTTGGAACTAGTGAAACATGCTGTATGTAGGTTGGACAACAGAGACTAGCTTCAAGGAACCTTCTGTTATACACCATCCATGAAAAACTGAATGTTCCACCTAGACAAGGCGTTGCACTGATGCTATCCAGGCCTTTCGCGATCTACTCAATGGAGAAAACTAACATGAAGAACAATTGGAAGGGGATCAAGGAGGCAACCACTTCAACATGCCATGAGGTTCCGCGTCACAAGAAGCACCATCACAAGGAATGGATCACTGTTAATACACTGGATAAGGTTCAAGAAAGGAGGAGCAGAAGGAAAGCAGCAATTAATAACAGCCATACAAGAGTATAGAAATCCAAGACACAAGCTGAATATACAAAAGTAAACACGGAAGTGAATAGGAGCATCATGTGTGGAAGATCAAACAATAATGTCGCAAAAGCCACAAGAGAAAGAAACACGGGACAATTGCATGATGCAACAAAGAAGCTCGCTGGAAATTATCGTAAGCCAGAACAACCAGTGAAAAGCAAGGAAGGCAAGGTAATCACCAACATTGAAGAACAACGAGACAGGTGGGCAGCAGGACCAGCCAACATTCCAGCAGAGGCACTGAAGGCAGAGGTAGCAGTAACTGCAAAGATACTCCACATTCTCCTCAGCGAGATTTGAAATGAAGAACAAGCAAGCGTGAGAACTACAGAGGCATCGCTCTTCTCTCAATACCAGCAAAAGTCATCAACAGAATGAAGGACCCTGTAGACGCCCAACATCTAGACCAACAGGCTAATGTCCGTAAGAATCGCTCATGCACCGGCCTAATCGCAACATTAAGGATCATCGTGGAACAATCAACTGAGTTTATTTCATCACTCTACATCAACTTCATTGACTACGAGAAAGCATATGATAGAGTGGACTGGGAAACAATACGAAGGCGTCTTCGACACTACGGCGTGCCCGAGAAGATATTCAACATCACATGGAATTATTATGATGGATTAAACTGCTAAATCGTGCATGGAGGATAGCTCGCAGACTCGTTCGAGTTAAAAACCGGTGTCAGGCAAGGTTGCTTACTCAAAATCCCTTCCTCTTTCTTCTGGATTATGAAAACGTCAACATTTGGGGGGAAGTACCAGATACAGTGCACAGATATGATGCGGCTGGACGACTTGGACTTCGCAGATGATCTGACCAGTGTAGCAGCAGTGCCAGCAGCAATAGGTCTCAACATACACGAAGAAAAAACAAGACTCTCTGATACAAAACAACACGCACCAATCAAATCACTTGACGGCGAAGTTTTCAAGGATTTAGAAACCTTTGCAGATCTGGGCAGCATCATTGATGAACACGGTAGATCTTATGCAGATGTGAAGGCACGGATCAGCAAAGCAAGAAAAGCATATCTAAAATTGAAGAACATCCAGATCTCAAAACAATTTTCAACCAAAATCGACTTCAGAATTATCAATAGGAATGTGAAGACAGTTCTGCTATATGGAGCGGAAACCTGGAGAACTACGAAAGCCATCATCCAGAAGATACAAGTCTTTATTAACAGCTGTCTGAGCAAAATACTTTGAAATAGTTGGCCAGACACTATCAGCAACAACCTACTGTGGGAGAGAACAAGCTAACTTCCAGCTGAGGAGTAAATCAGAAAGAATTACTGGAAGTAGATAGTACACACATTAAACAAAGCATCCAAATGCGTGAAAATGCAAGCACTTACTTGGAATCCCCAAGGCCAAAGGATGAAAGGAAAACCAAACAACACATCACGCTGGGAAATAGAGAAGAATGAACGACTATTGCAAAGAACTAAAAAGGAAGGCTCAGAGTGGGTTGGAGAATGCTGCTTGATGGCCTATGCTGCACTACGAGTAACTGGCATAAGTAAGTAGGTAAGTAAGACATTAGTCAAACATTTCTGAAAGTTTGTTTCCTTTCCGTACATATAGATGCTTTGATCGATACAAAAGCCTCATAAGTTGAGATTTGTAACCAATTTATATATTTTTTAATGATAGAATCATTCTTAGATAAGTCTTTATTTTCAACTCGAACTTCGATTACGTGGCTAGACGCCTGGATAGATTTGACATTACGGTATAATTTATTTTGACATTCGTCTCCCTTATTTAATAAACTTTAACTCATTTGCAATCTAACGTCATTCTGTACATAAAAGCGCATGGAGATGATATCTTTGATCTGATGAATAAATTTGAATTTATTTTCCATCTGTTTACCTGATCATCTCTTTCATCCGTATGTCTTTTGCTTAGTTAAGGAATCAAATTGTGCTCCAAACCAAAACATTCTTGACAATATCTAGTAATGTTGATGAGGCTAGATATCCAGAACTGACCCAGTAAATGTCTTGTTTTTGTGATTTTATTTTGAAAATTTGAATTTATTGTTGTCGCGCCAAAGCGTCCATTTACACATTCATATTGTATTTCCTATCTGGGAGATTCTTAAGTTCTATTGTCTCGTTGTCTCTTTTAACATGCTATTTTGTAACGTTTCTCAAAGACATCTTTATGCGGTATATATTCACTTGAGCTGTACTTGTTGTTTGTGCTTCTGGAAAACATTTTTCCCTCTTCTGAACCTGGACTCCTCTTTCCAGTCAGTGAGACAGGTTAGCAGGTTCGGCGAACTCGTAATCTAATGAAGCATCGCAAGTAATTTAACAGCATTGGTGTCATAAGTAGGAGGCAATTACTTTCACTTTTTTAAAAAAAACGCTGAGGTTATAAGAATATGTAAACACTAATAAGCAGAATATTATACGTTAATTAGTGAGAGAGTTCATTCAGAAAATACTCACACAGATCATGATACCGTGTAGTGAAAAAGACACATCCGAAGTTCAGTGGCTCTTGTTGTATCTACCACAAATCTCTATCAACTCACAAGATTGATATTCACCACTGAACCAACTTAATTTATACTCAAATGAAAATAAACGGAGGTATCATCTGTGACAAATGTTTGAAATTGATGTAAAGGACAGTGAATAACTCACCAATTACCGGTATTCGACTAATCAAAAAAGACTGCGAATTGCGGTTAAATATTTACCTATTCTTCCGAACGCAGTGGAAGTACTTTCATTCGTTTACGTAGATTGAATGAGTGAATCACCTAACTGATTGATATCTTGGATTTTATTACAATAAAATGTGTTAAGATGTCTTCGTTATCTTTCACGCCATTTTGTCATCCATCTGATCGAAGTGTGTAAATTTACAGGTATGTTTAACATGACACAATATATTTGCCATCATGTGAGATGAATAAAAATTTTCGAATGATCTATAGTTTGTAGTTTAAATGTTTGAGAAATAGGCAGTGAAATACTGAGATTTGAACATTTCTAATCTGGATTATACATTGTCTAATAAAATATGTAATTTTCACGCCATTTTGTCATCCATCTGATCAAAGTGTGTAAATTTACAAGTATGTTTAACATGACACAATATATTTGCCATCATGTGAGATGAATAAAAATTACATATTTTATTAGACAATGTATAATCCAGATTAGAAATGTTCAAATCTCAGTATTTCACTGCCTATTTCTCAAACATTTA